GCGATAGAGAGGGCGGAGGAGGAGGGGGGGGGGGAGGAGGCGGAGGGGGGGGAGGAGGAGGAGGAGGAGCAGCAGCAGCAGCATAATGCAGAGGAGGTAGTTGGCGTGCAGCCATACACGGTCCGCACCTTCTCTGGTCGCATGAGGCAGGGCTGAAGCGCTCGCTTACTCTTGGGCCCCTCCAGCCCCTAGGAGGTCAGGACTCGGCAGGAGAAAGAAGGAAGGGTAGGCTTTGGAGCGAGCGGCCCCGCGGGGAGGATACGACATCGATCTGGAGCGTCCCCGAGCGCTCTCAGCACGTCCTGGAACACTCTGGAAAGGCCGCGGCTCGGCCACACGTGAGAGTGGCCCTGTGCCAGAGTGACCTTTTGTGCGCGGTTTCGGGATGTGGGGAGCCCAAGCTCGAAGGAACCGAACACACTGATTAAGGCGCCTGGATCAGCGACGGGCTTTGTTTCGAAATGAAATCGCCGTGCTCCATTGCAAAACCAGGCGGCCTTGTCCTCACGTTTCGGAGGGTACTCCCCCCGATCCGTGGATCTGGCGCCCACGCGCGAGATCCACGAATCCCTAGTCCATGCCAGCGTGTGCCCGACATGCGCGCAGGCGGCTACCGTCGCATCGCACGCAACGGCTGGCAGGCTCGAGGGCCACTCTTGCCGAGGGCCATTCTTGCCTGTATAGCCGAGCGGTGCGCGACACAGCGTCCAGACCCTTCAGGGTCTCAAAGAGCCCTGGCTCATCTCAGCTCTATGCTCGGTGCGATCAGGATAGGTGCGGAAATCATGGTCACGAAAACGGGCAACATTTCTTGCCCATTTGAACAGGAATCGCAGTCGGAGTCGCCGCGGAGGTTGTCAGAGTGGAGACCAAACGTCGCACTCCCAACAGTGGACGCTGTCGGCTTTCGGTGTTGGACCACAGTTGCTGGTGAGCGTCGTGCCCATGTTTCCGTACAGTGTGGACGCCCATCAAGAAACCGGATGTGCGCCGTGAGGGTTTCTTGGTTTTTTTCGTTCCGAGCGTTGCGTGGCGACTCCCCGCGGCCGTCAAAGAGGCTGCTTCGTTCGGGGTGCTCTGGCGTTCCCACAAAACAAACGCACCTCGCGCGCGGATGTTCAGGGCTGGGTCGCGAGGATTTCTTGCGGCCGCGCCCGCATTGTACCCAATTCGGGCGTGCGAGGATGGAAACCGTTTCCCCAACCCTCCTTGTGTTCGGTACTCGTTTTGAATAGAGCACTGCGCGGTCCGTCCTCCCACCTCATCCCCTCCTCTTCTTCTCGTGTTTCCTGATTTGCCGCCTGCTTTATCCCAACCCTGCTTGTAATGGGCACTCGTTTCGAATAGAGCACTGTGGTCTACACCTCCTCCTCCTCCCGTCCTCCTCCCCCTCCCCCTCTCCTGATTCCCTTCTGTCTCATACCCCTCTCCCTCGCAGTGGTGCCTTACGACTCCTACCCCGCTTCGTGTGCGCTTGGGAGGCCCAGCAGAGGGACGTCCTAGGGGGATCACCATGGGACCTCGCCGTCTCTGGGGGGGCTGCGATCAGCGAAACTGTCGCCACTTTCGTGGGCTCCTGGGAAGCCCAGTAGAGTGACGTCCTACGGGGATCAAAATGAAACCTCGCCGTCCCCAGGGGGGCTGCGATCTGGGAGGCACAGCAGAGTGACGGCCTGCGGTGACCACCATGAGACCTCGCCGTCCCTGGGGGGGGGTGATCAGCGAAACCGTCGCCACTTTCGTGGGCTCCTGCAGGGAGGCCCAGCAGAGTGACGTCCTACGGGGATCACCATGAGACCTCGCCGTCCCTGGGGGACTGCAATCTGCGAAACTGTCGCCACTTTCGTGGGCTCCCGGGAGGCCCAGCAGGGTGACGTTCTACGGGGACCACCATGAGACCTCGCCGTCCCTGGGGGGGTTGTGATCAGCGAAACTGTCGCCACTTTCGTGATTCCTGGCTGGCCCAGCAGAGTGACGGCCTACGGGGACCACCATGAGACCTCGCCGTCCCTAGGGTGTTGTGATCAGCAAAACTGTCGCCACTTTCGTAGGCTCATGGGAGGTCCAGCAGAGTGACGTCCGATGGGGATCACCATGAGGCCTCGCCGTCCCTCGGGGGGCTGCGATCTGCGAAACCGTTGCCACTTTCGTTGGGCTCCTGTGAGGCCCAGCGGAGTGACGGCCTACGGTGACCACCATGAGACCTCGCCGTCCTTTGAGGGGGGGGGGTGCGATCTGCGAAACTGTCGCCACGTTCGTGGGCTCCTGGGGGGCCCATCAGAGCGACGTCCTGCGGGGATCACCTGGGGGGGCTGCGATCTGCGAAACCGTCGCCACTTTCATGGGCTCCTGGAAGGAGGCCCAGCAGAGTGACGTCCTACGGGGATCACCATGAGACCTCGCCGTCCTTTGGGGGGGGCTGCGATCTGCGAAACTGTCGCCACGTTCGTGGGCTCCCCGGAGGCCCAGCAGAGTGACGTCCTACAGGGACCACCATGAGACCTCGCCGTCCCGGAAAGGGAGGGGTGGGCGATCAGCGAAACCGTTGCCGCTCCTGGGAAGCCCAGCATAGTGACGTCCTACGGGGTATCATGAGACCTCGCCGTCCCTGGGGGGCTGCGATCTGCGAAACCATCGCCGCTTTCGTGGGCTCCCGAGAGGCCCAGCAGAGTGACGTCCTACGGGCATCATAATGAGACTCGGCCATCCCTTGGGGGGGGCCTTCTGCAAAACTGTCACCATTTTCGTGGGCTCCTGGGAGGCCCAGCAGAGTGACGTCCTATGGGGATCACCATGAGACCTCGCCGTCCCGGGAAGGGAGGGGGGGGGGGGCGATCAGCGAAACCGTTGCCATTTTCGTGGGCTCCTGGGAAGCCCAGCAGAGTGACGTCCTACGGGGTATCATGAGACCTCGCCGTCCCTGGGGGGCTGCGATCTGCGAAACCATCGCCACTTTCGTGGGCTCCTGAGAGGCCCAGCAGAGTGACGTCCTACGGGGATCACAATGAGACTCGGCCATCCCTGGGGAGGGGGCCTTCTGCAAAACTGTCACCATTTTCGTGGGCTCCTGGGAGGCCCAGCAGAGTGACGTCCTATGGGGAACACCATGAGACCTCGCCGTCCCTGCAGGGCTGTGATCTGCGAAACTGTCGCCACGTTCGTGGGCTCCTGGGGGGTCTAGCAGAGTGACGTCCTACGGGGATCACAATGAAACCTCGCCGTCCCAGCAGGGCTGCGTTCTGCGAAACTGTCGCCACGTTCGTGGGCTCCTGCAGGGAGGCCCAGCAGAGAGACGTCCTACGGGGATCACAATGAGACCTCGCCGTCCTTCGAGGGGGGGGCTGCGATCTGCGAAACCGTCGACATTTTCGTTGGGCTCCTGGGAGGCCCAGCAGGGTGACGTCCTACGGGGACCACCATGAGACCTCGCCGTCCCTCGGGTGGCTGCGATCAGCGAAACCGTTGCCACTTTCGTGGGCTCATGGGAGGCCCAGCAGAGTGACGTCCTACGGGGATCACCATGAGACCTCGCCGTCCCTCGGGTGGCTGTGATCTGCGAAACCGTCGCCACTTTCGTTGGGAGGTCCAGCAGAGTGACGTCCTACGGGGATCACCATGCGACCTCGTCGTCCCTGGTGAGCTGCGATCTGCGAAACCGTCGCCACTTTCATGGGCTCCTGGGAGGCCCAGCAGAGTGACGTCCTACGGGGATCACCATGATAGCTCGCCGTCTCTGGGGGGGGCTGCGATCTGCGAAACTGTCGCCACGTATGTGAGCTCCTGGGAGGCCCAGCATAATGACGTCATACAGAGATCACCATGGAACCTCGCCGTCCCGGGAAGGGGGGGGCGATCTGCGAAACCGTTGCCGTCCTTGGGGGGCTGCGATCTGCGAAACCATCGCCCCTTTCGTGGGCTCCTGGGAGGCCCAGCAGAGTGACGTCCTACGGGGGTCACAATGAGACCTCGCCGTCCCTTGGGGGGCCGTCCCTGGGAGGGTTGTGATCAGCGAAACTGTCGCCACTTTCGTGGGCTCCTGGCTGGCCCAGCAGAGTGACGTCTTACGGGGATCACCATGAGACCTCGCCGTCCCTGGGGGGGGGCCTTTTGTGAAACTGTCGCCACTTTCGTGGGCTACTGAGAGGCCCAGCAGAGTGACGTCCTACGGGGATCACCATGAGACCTCGCCGTCCCTGCAGGGCTGTGATCAGCGAAACCGTTGCTTCTTTCGTTGGGCTCCTGGGAGGCCCAGCAGAGTGACGTCCTACGGGGATCACCATGAGACCTCGCCGTCCCTGGGGGGCTGCGAGCAGCGAAATTGTCGCCGCTTTCGTGGGCTCCTGGGAGGCTCAGCAGATAGTCACCACATGTTTAGAAAGGGTTGGGTACGTCCCAGGGTAATTGATTCCCTGGCGATCACGGGCGTGACTAGCCGTAGGGGGAGGGGGCTGGTCACGTCTCGATTCGCGCTGGCGCCGTCTGGGGAATGTTAAGGAATGGCTGATCCCGTGCGACGCTTGCGCGAATCGTGAAGTGACCAGGGGGGAGGGAGCGAGCGGGGGGGCGGGGCTGGTCACGCGCGTCATACGCGAATGATAAGAAAACGGGCTCATGATGGCTCATGTCCCAGATCTCCGACGTCATGATTTTTTACGGGTCTCGACCGATTCCCGGGGACCGGTTACACATCCTGAGTCGTTTCCTTTGACGGTCTCGATGTTCAGTAAGGAGTCAAAAACCTACCGTCGTGTATTTTTCATGGCGGGGCTAGGACGAGGATAACTCCGTCCCAGGGCGTTCCAGATCTCTCTCAGAGCGTTCCAGAACTCTCTGAGAAGGCCAGGGCGCCCGAGACATTCTCCAGAGTCGCCGGATCTCGGAGATTCTCGATTTGTCCTCACCCGATTTTATCTTCGTCATGGCTTCGTCTTACCAGGGGTCGTCTTTCCTATTTTGCCTTCCTCCCGAAGGTCCGCATCCGCGGCCGCGGCAGCGGCCACTGCGAAGAGGAGGACGGGGGCTCGCAGGCGCAGGAGGCGGACGTGCCGCTCCAGGTCGCGCTCAGCTGCAGGAGCCACGCCGCACTGCAGCTCGGCCTCAGGACGTGCGCGGCGAGAGTGGAGGGGGTGTCTCTCTCTCCTCCCTCCCAGAGTCAGGTCGGGCATGTCCTCCTGCAGGCAGATTTTGTGGAAGATGCAAGAAGCACAGCCAAAACATACTTAAACATAGTCAGGAACTGAGAATCGAAGCATCGTCCCCAGACTACTTTTGATTAGTCTTGAATCATCTCACCAGCCTCGAACGTATCCCTATCCCTAAGATTGACACGCCAAAAGGCGATGACAATCTTAGGGATTCGGCCTCAAAAAATATGGGAATCCCTACGATCGGCATCGTGATGAGGAGGTGCCCAGCATAGGGATAGGGATATGTTCCAGGCTGGTAATTGTCCTCCTGTAGAGGGACACGCCCGACGAACTCCCAGGCCCCCTCGCGTCGTGGAGCCAGGTCCCCACCAGGGGCACGAAGGCAGCGGCGGTTCGCATCGCTTCGCGCACCGCGGCTCGGGTTGGAGAGGCGCTCTTCTCCAAAACTCAGGAGGGGGAAAAAAAAACAGACACAGTTAATCGTCGATCCCCCGGAAAATATGGGAAAATATGGGAAGTGGGGGGGAAGACGAAAATCAAACAAATATGGAAACATATTGGGAATCCTTTCATTTGTGTGTGTATATATATATATATATATGTGTGTGTGTGTGTGTGTGTGTGTGTGTGTGTGTGTGTGTGTGTGTGTGTGTCCCAGGGCCCTTTAAAAACAGTGGTGCGGGGGCGCGAGGATGGCCGCGCATCGCGGGGCGCGATGCCCGAAGTGAGGACAAATCATGACAGAGATTGTTCTGTCTTTTGCTATTTGGGGCCTCTGGGGGCCTCGGGGCCGTCGAGGAACGACTCAGGATGAAGAATTGGTCCGAGGGAATGGGTCGAGACCTATGGGGAGTCGACGTTGTGATAAATCAAGACGTCGGGGTTCTGGGCTTCTCCCTAATCCTCCCTCCTCCTTGCTCCTCGTCCTCCCCCTCCTCCTCCACCTCCTGTTTCCCTGGGCGCGAACTCGCCACGACCCATTCATCGAGCGACTTGTGAGCAAAAGAGGAGATATGGCGATATTGCAAATGTCCCCACCTCCTCCTCCTCCTCCTCCTCCTCCTTCTCTGGAACCCTGGAGCCCTCCTCCCCCTCCTTATGCTACCAATTGCTGACCGAAGGCATCGGCAACGCCTGCGGGGCTGGCTTTTCCACGCCCATGTGATCCATGCAGTGCGCGGCCACCTCGTGGAGGAGTCTGGCAAATCCCATGTGGACCTCACTTCGGATGTCCCTGGATGTCGTCGAGGTTTGCCAGCTTGAGGTGCGATCCCAAATGGGCATTCGGCACGGGAGGCTCAGAGCAGGGGGCGGGAGATCTTCTTTTCCTCCTCCCTCTCGCTTCCTCGTCTCTCTCTCTCTCTCTCTCTCCCTTGCTCCTGCTCCTGCTTCTCGGGCTCCTCCTGCTCTCCTCCTGCTTTCCCTCTCCCCACCCCCCCATGTCAGAGGCTCCCCCCTTCAGCAGAAGTACGCACCCCCCAAACTGGTCTGCCAACGGATGTTCAGTCAGTCAGCCATTAGCCGGCAAAGAAAGGTATCAACACATTTTGGTTCGCAGTCGGGAGGAGCGGCCAGGAAGTTTATGCCACGACGGTGGCAGGCCGGGGGTAGATCGGAGGCAGAGTAGGGGGCGACTAGCCCAGGGGCTGGCGTTACACGCATTTGCCAGGGCGCCTCGCTGAAGACACGGACCGCCCGCTGGATACGTGTGTTGATTTGTTCGCCCCTGGGCTATTCGCCCCGATCGTCGCCGCCGAGTGCAAATTTTCCAGCCGCCTTGGGACAGGCGCCCCCGACCAAGGAGCAATTGGTGTTATACCGTTTTTCGCCCGCCCAAGTCAAGGATGCTCCTCGAGCTCCTCGCCTCCATGTCGAGCCACTTTGCGCGCTACTGCCGCACCCGCGGGATCGCCGAGCCCGAGCAGCTGTACGAGGTTATGTGAGGCGTGGTGGCTTCAGCAGCAGCTGCTCCTCATCCCTGTGAGCTTCCTCCGCCTCCTCCCTCCTCCTCCTCTTCCTCCTCCTCTTCCTCCTTCTCTTCCTCCTCTGCCTCCTCCTCCTGCTCATCTCTCCTCCCCCTCCTCCCTCCTCCTCCATGTCAGTTTCCTCTCTGCTTCTTCCTCCTCCCTCCCCCTCCTCCTCCTCCTCCTCCTCCTCCTCCTCCTCCCTCCTCCTCCCTGCTCCTCCCTCCTCCCTCCTCCCTCCTCCCTGCTCCTCCTCCTTCTCCTCCTCCCTCCTCCCTCCTCCCTGCTCCTCCTCCTTCTCCTCCTCCCTCCTCCTCCTCCTCCCTGAGAGCGTGGGCGGGCAGAGGGCGAATGTACAGCCTGCTCCTCCTGCCTGCGGTCCCCGCGTCCGCACGCGCAGCGTGCAGAGGCTCGTGCTCCTGCAGCGCGCGCGAGTGCGCCTGGCCAAGCGGTCGTTCGACCTCAGAACTTCTGAGGCGGTGTCGTGTCTTGTCCTTCCCTTCTTCTCCTCCTCCTCCTCCTCCTCCTCCTGCTTCTCCTCCTCCTCCTCCTCCTTCTCCTCTCCTTCTCCTCCTCCTCCTCCTCGTTCTCCTCCTTCTCCTTCTCCTCCTCGTTGGATCGTTCCAAGGGACCGACCGTCACGGCATTCCTATAGTCATACCACGAAATGTTCCCAGAACCCACAGATGTTCTAATAACAGAAACGATGTTCTTAGAACATGAGCCCGATGTGTGAAAACAAGGCAGTCCCAGCCAGAAATGGTCTAAGAACATTTCGTGGGAACCACAGAAGGTTCTTAGAACATTGTTGAGTGGGGCTATAGGCGAGCCGGGACGCTTCGCCACTGCTTGATTCTTCTCCTCCTCGTTGGATCGTTCAAGCCGGCTGAGGGCAGTACCGCGCGCCGTCGGATCAACAGACATATTTTCACGCTGAGGCGTAGGAGGGGGGGATGGGGAGGCAGGTTCTTTGCAGGATAATCATGCGCGCCATCGGCGGGGTCGGCGCACGGGTTGAAGGCAAGGAGTAGCGAGGGGGATGCAGGAGGTGCAGGATGGACCCAAAGGATGAAAAATGGAGGACATGAGAGGGAGATGAGGTGGGGAAGGGGTGATGATGATGCTGCTGATGATGATGATAAAGATGATGATGATAAAGATGGTGATGATAAAGATGATGATGATGATGACGATGATGATGATGACGATGATGATGATGGTGATGATGATGGTGATGGTGATGGTGATGGTGATGGTGATGATGATGATGATGATGATGATGATGATGATGATATTGATGCCGATGGTGCCGATGCTTATAATGAAGAAGATGATGATGCTGACGAGGATGATAACGATGATGATAATGATGGTGGTGGTGATCATGATGCTGATGATGATGATGGTGGTGATGATGATGATGGTGATGGTGATGGTGATGGTGGTGATGGTAGTGATGATGATGCTGACGATGATGATGGTGGTGGTGATGATGCTGATAGATGGTGATAGGTGGTGGTGAATGATGGTGTTGATGCTGTTGATGCTGATGATGATGATGATGGTGGTGATGATGACGATGATGCTGATGGTGATGGTGTTGATGATGCTGAACATGGTGATAATGGTGATGATGATGATGGTGATGATGATGAAGCTGATGCTATGCTGATGCTGGTGATGATGAGGACGATGCTGCTTATGATGATGATACTGGTGATGATGATGATGACGATGATGATGACGAGGGTGATTACGATGATGCTGCTAGTAATGCTGATGATGCTGCTGATGATGATTGTGGTCATGATGATGATAACGCTGAATCTGATGATGACGATGGTGATGGTGACAGTGATGGTGATGGTGATGGTTGTGATGATGGTTGTGATGATGACGGTGATGCTGGTTGTGGTGGTGCCGATGATGATGCTGATGCTGATGTTGATGGTGATGATGATGATGATGATGATGGTGATGATGATGATGATGTTGCTGACGTCGATGGTGGAGATGATGATGATATTGATGGTGATGCTGATGATGATGCTGATGACTCTGATGCTGATGCTGATGTCGATGATGCTGATGATGGCGATGATGATGATGTTGACGACGAGGACGATGACGATGACGACGACGGTGAAGCTGACAATGGTGATGGTGATGGTGATGGTGATGATGGTGGTGGTGATCGTGATGGTGACGGTCATGGCGACGACAGTGATGGCGGTGGTGATGGTGATGATGTTGATGTTGATATTGATGTTGTTGATGATGTTGATATTGTTGATGATGATGATGATGATGATGATGATAATGATAATCATAATGACGAGGATGAGGAGGATAAGGAGGAGGAAGAAGCAGGAGGAGGCAGGATGACAGGACACGAGAAGGGGGGGAGGATGAGGCAGGAGGAGGAGACAGGAGGACGATGCAGGAGGAAGGGGAGGCAGGAGGTGAAGGAGGCGGAACCAGGCAGGGGAAAGAGGAGGATGCAGGAGGAGGTGGCAGGAGGAGGAGGAGGAGGCAGGAGGAGGAGGAGGAGGCAGGATGACGATGGAGGGATGCGGTAGGAAGGAGGGGAATGAGGAGGAGGAGGATGAGGAGAAAAAAAGAGAGAGAAAAAAAACATAATACGAATCCGAATAAACATATGATTACTACTAAGAAGATGAAGTTTGGGCAGGTGGATGAGAAGACGTGATGAAAAGGATGCAGAAGGGGGATAAGGAGGAGGAAGAGGAGGAGGAGGATAGGAATGAGGCAGGATGATGATGGAAAGAAGGGGGGAGGGAGGCGGAGGAGGAGGATGCAGGATGCATGATGCAGGAGACAGACACAAGAACGACGACGAGGATGCACATGGCAACTAAGATGATTGTCGTGCGGGATCCGATCGTCGGAGTAATCGCTTCTACAAGAATCCGATAACGAAAAGCGTTCTGGGAACGATCAAGTGATACATCGATTATGAAAACATGAGGGCTTCCATCATGAAAGTTTGACGCCGTAGTGTAAGTTCTGACAACTTGTAACCTTCGACCCATCCCGCCACCGTGCCTGGGTTGTGGGTCAGAGTTCTCAGGGATGCTCCTTCGGGTCTCTTCGGGGCGCTCTCGGGGGCCTCTTAGGAGCAGTTTGGGGGCCTCTTGGGAGCCTCTTGGGGGCCTCTTGGGAGCCTCTTGGGGCCTCCTGGGAGCCACTTGGGGCTTGCTCTTGGGGCCTCCTGGGAGACCCTCGGGGCCGAGGGCTCGAAATGTCCGTTCGGGTTCCCCATCTGGACCCCCTCTTGGGGCTATCTTTGGGCCTTCTTGGGCCGTCCTGGGCGCCTCTTAGGCCGTCTTGGAGCCCTCTTGGGCCGTCTTGGGGCCCCCTTGAGGGCCTCGTCCTGGGGCGATTTGGGGGGCCTCGTGGGCCGTCTTCCAGCGTCGGAGCCGAAAAGGCGAGAGGGCCAACAACTTCCAGAAAGCTGAGGAAGATCACCGATTTTTGCCTCTTGGGGCCTTCTTGGGACGCCTCTTGGAACACTCTTGGGACGTCTTCGGGGCCTCTTGGGCCGTGTTGAGGCCATCCGGGCCGTATTGGGTTACTCTTTGGGGCCTTCTCGGAGGCATCTTCGGCCCTCCGGGCCCCTGTTCTGCCAACCTGCACTTTTTTCGGAGGGCGCGCGCGCAGCACGCCCGGGGAACTCCGTGGAATCCTTGGGGATCCCAGGATTCCCCAGAAGTCCTTGTGAAATCGGGGGCGGCAAAGAGGGGGGTGATGACTAGGGGGGGTGGATATCATGGCGTGGGCCATGATATTTCCCCAGATTTCATGGCGCCTCTTCTTATTTCATTACGTCCCTGGCCCCCCCGCTGGGCCGCGCACATGCCGGCGGTCATGATTTGCACCCCCCCCTCTTGGACACCCCCCTCTTGGCCGCTCCCGATGAAACCAGCGGCCCGGACTTCCCCAAACCCTACAACTCTGAGCCTCTGAGGCTGCATGAGCCTGGGGGCACTCCACAGCGTGCTGCAGGCAAAGTGGCGGATACGCACACTACCAGCATGTTCAGTGCTGCGACGAATGGAAATTACTTCGAGAAAGCGGGATGAAGGATGAGGGGCATGATGAAACGTCGGATCTGGCAGGAGGATGGAAAAGAGGAGGCAGGTGGAGGAGCAGCTGCAAGAATAAAGGATGGGAGGGAGGAGAAGGGACGAGGCAGGAGAGAGAAGGCAGGATGCAATTCGGAGGGGGAATAGGGGGGCATGCAATTCTGAGGAGGATGCGACCAACACAGCACAATCACTTATGTTCTGATGTGGAATTCTGAACGCGCTTGCAGGCGATGTCGAACAACTGAAGCACACTTCGGCACGACGCTTTCGAGAGGATCAGCACCGAGAGGGCTCGTGATTGGCCGGTCTCGTGGCGGTACGTAGTTACAGTTGAATTCGATGAACCAGCCCTGCTGTGTCGCTCTGTGACCTCCGCGAGGTACGCACAGCGGGCACGCCGGCACCCACCATAAGAAATCGGGCACGCCTCCAGCGAGGCACCGCCGCCCCCTCTGCCCCCGTCCCCCGCGGGGGGCCCCGCGACGGAGGGCGAAGGGCCTCCGCGGAGGGGCACCGGAGAGCCGGCACGCCCAGCCCGCTGGTCCACGGACCGCTGCAGGGGCGGCGGGTCGAAGGCGCCTCTGGCTTCTGTGGCACCTTCGGGCGCCCTCGCCTGTCCCAAAAATTGGTGTCTTTTTGGGGGCCCGACGCGTGCTCGATGCGGACTCGACGCGGATTTGGCGTGCATTCGACGCGGATTCGACACGGATTCGACACGGATCCGACGCGTCCGACATGGATTCGACACGGATTCGACGCGGACAGGATCGCGACGGGACAGACAAGGTCCGCCGAGGATGCAACATAATCTGGCGAGTCACGGCGGCCCTGTGCCCCTGTTCCTTGGCCCCCTTTGTGATTGGATCTTCGTTTCGAAACAATCACGCGTTGCTTGTACACGCATGTAAGGGAGATCCTGAGCCCGGGGCCATGGGCCGGCCCCTCCCCTGTACTTCGGTGCCCTTTCTCTCCCAGGTGACCTCCCTGGGCGACCCCCGGAGGTCCCAGAAAGCCCGAGAATCTTCAAAGAACGCCCAAGATAGCCTGCGACTGGCCCTCAAGGCCCCCAAAAGTGCCCTACGAGAGCTCCAAGACGGCCCCAGGTGACGCTGCGACAGCCCCAATCAAGATGTCCCAAGAGGCCCGCCAAGAGGGCCCCAAGAAGAAGAGACCATCACACTCCCGGAGGAAAACGCAGATGTTTAGCCTCTTCGCCCCGTGGGCTTTCACAGCGTCCACAACGGCCCCAGAGGCTCCCAAGGCGGCCCAGGAGGTCTCCAAGAGAGCTCCAGGACGGCCTCCTGGACGGCACAAAGAGAAGAGCTCCAGGAGCCTACTGGGGCCGAGGCCGAGACCTCCTGGGGCCTACGGCTCCAGGACGGCACAAAGAGAACCCAAGACGGCTCAGGACGGCCCCCAAGGACAGGCCCAGGAGCGATTCCAGAGGGGGGGAACCGAGTTCAAAGTTCGAGCCTCGGCCCCGGAGACCCGCAGGAGGTCCCCAGAGGCTCCCAAGAGGCCCCAGGAGGCCCCCCCCCAAAAGGCTCCCAAGAGTCTCCCTGGCATCGCTCGGACGTGTGCATTTTTTTTCTCGGCGAGGACCATCGAGGAGCATCCTTGATCATTTGGCGAAAAAACCATGCACGAAATTGAAAAAAGCACAGGGAATAAGGCTCCAAGAGCCTCCGAGAAGCCACCCAAAAGGCCACCTGGAAGCCCCCAGGAGGCCCAAACACTGCCTTCAATAATGCCCCCGAGAGGCCCCCAGGATGCCTCCAAAGCGCCCCCCAAGAGGCCCCAACAACTGCATCCACTATACTTTCAAAACGCTTAATTACGCTTAAGTCAAAGTTTTGCAAAACACTTTTTTCCCTTCAATGCTTGCACTGTCCTGGGGAGGATCTCCGAACTTTCGAGCATGGCTCCATCGAGCTGACCCCCTTTGTCCAGGTTCCCCGCCTTGGGAGCCTCCGAGAGCGCCCAGCGAGGGTCTCGAGACGGGCACTACAGGCCCAAGAGGCCCTCAAGACGAGCCAATATGGCCCCGAGACGGTATAAGAGCGCTCGAAGAAGCCGAAGATAGCCTCAAGTATGCCTAAGCGGGTCCTCAAACGCTTTCAAAGGGCAACAAAAGGGACCCCCAGGAGGGCCCCAGGATGCCCAACGCATACATTGTCTATAGGTTTTCAGAAGTGTTAGCATTATCGTTGTTCCAGTGTTTCATGCACCAAGATAGCCCAAGAGGCCCCCGTGACGGCCCGACTACGACCCAAGAGAGCGCCAAGACGGCCCAAGAGGCCACCAAGTCGGCCCCAGAGGTTTTCAAGGCAGCCCCATGACATGGGCAAGAGCGGGGATCCAAACGGACATTTCGAATCCAGATGCCAAAAGGCCTGGGGAGGCCCCCGAGGCGCCCCCAAGAAACCGCAAGAGGGCTACCAGGAACCCCCCAAGAAACCCCAAGGGCCCCCCACCCAGAAGCCCCCGAGAGCCCTCCAAGAGAGTTCCCCAAAAGGCACACACATGTATATATATATATATATATAATATATATATATATATATATATATATATATATATATATAGATGTAGGCTCCCAGCATGGTTTTGCCAGGCTCCTAGGGGCTTTCGGGCATTCCCCCTTGGGCTGCCATGGGTTCTCCTTGTGGCTGCTTTTCGCGCCTTCCTGGAGCTTGCGTGGGCGCTTCCAAAAAACAGCTGAGGGATTCGCCCTGCACGCGTTCTTATGGCGCGAAGTCGTTCTGGACGTCGCCTCTATGGGAAGAGCGAGCCGCATCGTCTGTCTTGTACTGTGTGTCGTGCAACATCTTAACGCTTCCCAGAAATTCACAATACGGCCTACGGGATCCCTAATGCCGCGCCCAAGACGGCTTCCACTGACCCTGGCAGCCCTTAGATGATGCAAATTCCCCATATCATTGCCCCCCAGGGTTACCCAGGGACCTCCGAAGGCACCTCCGAGATAGTTCGAGGGGCTCTCGAGACGGTCATGAGATCTTCAAGACCGCTGAAGACGGCCCACAGGCCACTAGCCCCCCGAAGCCTCCCAAAAGTTGCCTTCGGGCAGCTGCTCGGCGTATCTGCTCAGGGCAGCAGGATCTCCTTGGGGCTGCCGATTCGGCAACTCCTGAAGCGTCCATCAGGGAGTACGCTCCCATATGATGATACTAATGGGGTGATATGCATCAGAACCGGTGACGTTGGTTTGGGCTGCGCTACGACCTAAGCACGCGCGAAGCGCGCGCGTAGTTCTAATGCATATATATATATACACACCCATCCATATACGTATACATGTGTATGTGCATGTGCATATACATGTATACACTTACATGCACACACGACTATACATACCACACCTGCTAGTATTTATACATATGCACATGCACATATACATGTGTGCATGCGAATTCCTTTGTGTAACACAAACATACACATGTACATACACGCATACTCTACACATGCATATCCAGATGCATACACATATATTCATGCACGTGTACACATACATACACACATGCCTATGCAATGCAGCACACATACATCATATACTAACATACACATGAGTAGACATGTTCATACATCTATGTCTGTACAACGCCATATACATACACATGCACGTATACATCTACACTTATGCATACACGCATCCATCCATACATACAAACAAACATCCATACATACATGCACACATGCACATGCGAACAGCTATGTGTGTATATATATATATATAGATGTGTGTGTGTGTGTGTGTGTGTGACCCTCCTCCTCTCTCTCTCTCTCTTTCGCGTCTCCTGGGGGGCTGCCAATCGCCCAAGTCTCCCTACTCTCCTGCGCCCCTGGGGGGTCCAGTGGAGTGGTCTCTCTATGCGCACCAAATGAGAGCTAGCACTCTGGATGCTGCCGAGCGCGGAACTCTCCCCATTTTACTGCGTCCCTGGGGGTTCCAGCGGGGTGGTCTCCTCACTCAAACCAAATTCGATCTCACATTGGGTACTGCCAGACGCACAGCTGCCCTCACTCGTGCGCCGCCACTGGGTGGCCCAGCGGGATGACGTACTACGCACACCAGCTGACCTCTTCTACGCCTCCCCCCCTTGCTTGCCAAACGTACGGTTGCCCCCATTTTCCCGCGCCATTGCAGGGCACAGTGGGATGACGTCCAACGCACACCATGTGCGTCCTCGGCCCCATTGGCGAGCGAAGCGCGCAAAATTCCCCAATTTTCCTGCACCGCTGTGGGGTCGCGTTCTGCGCACAGGTTGAGAACTCGGCCCCCTGGCTGTTGTCAAGTGTGCGACTCTCCCAACTCTCTTGCGCCCCTGGGGGAGTCCGGCGGGTTGGCCTCTCTGCGCAGACCTGGTGAGACGTCGATTCCCTGGTTGCTGCCCAGTGCGCAACTTTCCCTGCTTTCCTGCACCCCTGGGTGGTCTAGTGGAGTGGCGTCTACGAAGATCCACGCCATGGTCCTGCCAGGTTTCTCAGGTGCGCTTGGTATGTCCGTGGGTAATTTGCAGCTCTTGTGTGGCCAAGCGTTTGGTCCGATTGCGGTCATGCTTATGGACAGCGCGAATCCCCGCGGGGGAACACAGGTTGCAATGTTGGGTCACGTTGCGCCATGTGGAGCTCTGTTTGGCCACATCGGCGGCTTTTTCAACCTGGTGGCCACTACGAGCGGCTGGCGGAGATAAGAGGCGCACGTAAGTGCTACACAGTGCGACGACCCTCGACGGCCCGTAACTTGTTGATTGCGGCTGGCTTTTTTCGGGGAGAGCACGTATTCTCACACGTTTCAGTATATCTTTGGCGAGTCATTCGTGTCAGCAGCGCCCTGCTCGGTTTGCGCACGGGCTTGCTCTCGTGATTATGAACATGCACGATACCGGCACTGACCGCTCGCTAAGTCTACCTCGCTCGCGTTTGTATTCAAGTGGTCACCTTTCAGTAGGGGATGGCAAACTAAGTGTTTGGTGTGCGAAGCCGCTTCCACGAGTGCTGGGACGCCTCGTGATAAGACGGTGAACACCTCTCTTCACCGGGCATGAGAAGATCTTTGGTTGCATGTTTCAATTCAGTCATTCGCCGGAGATTTGCCCCTGGCCTGCACATTCTAAGAGCGGTTGTTACAGTTGTGCTCTCGGCGCGCTCTGGATGGGCCGTGCGCATTCGCTCCTTCCCTCCCTTGGCGAACGTGCCGGGGAGTCACAGAGGAGCTTGCGACGCCGTGCGACGGTTGAAAAACTAGGTCACCCTCGGGGGGCGCCAGGACAATAGCGCTTCGCGCGTCGCGGTCTGCGCCGAGCGGCAGCCCCTCTCCAGGGGGGGTGGCGCGAGGACGCGAAGATGATCGCGCATCGCGGGGCGCGGGGCGCGGAGCTGGGTGAGCCTCGAGGGGGGCGCGGAGCAAGAGGCACGCGGCACGTCCTCCTCCAGAAGGGAGGCGGAAGTTGGCCGTGCACTTGCCATGTTGCCAAACTGCACTTGCCTATCGTTCCTCCTCTTCCTCGTCCTCCTCCTCTTCCTCCTCCTCCTCCTCCTCCTCCTCCTCCTCCTCCTCCTCCTCCTCCTCCTCCTCCTCCTCCTCCTCCTCCTCCTCCCTCCTCCTCCTCTCCTCCCTCCTCCTCTCCTCCTCCTCCTCCTCCTCCTCCTCCTCCTCCTCCTCCTCCTCCTCCTCCTCCTCCCTCCCTCCTCCTCCTCCGCCTCCCCTCCTTCCCCTCCTCCTCCTCCTCCTCCTCCTCCTCCTCGTCCCTCCTCCTCCTCCTCCTCCTCCCCTCCTCCTCGCTCCTCCTCCTCCTCCTCCTCCTCCTCCTCCTCCTCCTCCTCCTCCTCCCTCCTCCTCCTCCCCCCCTCCTCCTCCTCCTCCTCCTCCTCCTCCTCCCTCCTCCTCCTCCTCCTCCTCCTCCTCCTCCTTCCCCTCCTCCTCCTCCCTCCTCCTCCTCCTCCTCCTCCTCCTCTCCTCCTCCTCCTCCTCCTTCTCCTCCTCCTCTCGCCTCCTCCTCCTCCTCCTCCTCCTCCTCCTCCTCCTCCTCCTTCCTCCTCTTCCTCCTCCTCCTCCTCCTAGGCGTTGTGGTCCGAGGCGTTCCTTCCTTTCGGGGCAGCCCGACGGCCACGACCCCAGCCTCCCGCCCCCCCTGGGGCGCGAGGCGAAGCTCTCGGGCACGCGGCGCCTGCGATCGCCGTCGCCCGCGGCGATTGCCCCCAGCCCCACGGAGGGGCGCCCTCGCGAGCGCGAGCGCTCGCCCGCCTGGCACCGCAGGGCGCGGCGCCAGCGCTCTGCCGCCCGTGCTCGGCTTCGGCGGCATCGCGATCGCCTGCTGCTGCAGGCGCACCACGGCAGCCAGCCGCCCATGCATGGGCCCCGCGGCGGAGGCCCCCCTGCGGGCCCAGCGCGCGGCCAGCGGCCGCAGGGCGCGGCGCGCGGCGGCGACGGCCCTGCCATCTCAGGCGGCGGCACCCCTTGCTGCAAGTGCGGCTGCCGCAGGAACGAGGCGTGGTGGCGCTACTGCAAGCACTGCAAGGGCGAACTTGTGCCGACGCAGGCCCCTCCTCGGCGCCCTCGCTCTGCTGAGCGGCGTGTGGTGCAGCGTGCGCCTTGGCACGACGAGGACGGGCTGCGACCTGGGCCAGGTGGCCGAGCCGATACGCCAGGGGGACGGCGTGACGGCTCCAGGGTCCGCTTCGCCTTGTCCAGCGTGGAAGAGCTGCCCAGCGGCAGCGACGCCGACCCCGAGGAGGCCAAGCTGGTGCAGCTCATCAGCTTGCTCCGCCTGGAGCAGGACGAGGGCGGAGTGCGCAAGTACCAGGAGCAGCTCGACAGCCTGCGCAGTGCCCGTCGGGCGCGGCCCTTGTCCGTGGACGAGGCCATGGCTGCCAGGGATGCGGCAGCTGAGGCCTTGGACAAGGCTGTCGAGCATGCTGACTCGCTCCAGGCCCAGTTGGACAGCGCCAAGTCGGTGGTGGTGGCCCGCTCCGCCAAGTACGATGAGGCTCTGGCAGCTTACACTACGGCTGTGCAGGCCTTGGCGCAGCAGGTCGCTGGCGCAACACCGCAGACGGCTGGCCCGCCGCTCTCAGGCAAGCTGTCCATCGCCAAGCTGCTCCAGGGTGACAACGTGGAGCTGGACGACGAAGGTCTCTTCGGCTTGGAGGCCCTGGAAGACTACGAGATTCAGGAGTCAGACCGTGAGGAGGCTGCCAGACGCAAGGCCGATCTCCAGAGCAAGTTCAAGGCCATGGCGCAGGAGGCGTTCGGCAAGTTCGCGAAGGAGGCCCGCGAGCTCGAGCGTCAGCACTCGGAGCTCAAGGACCGCCTCCAGAAGAAGCGCAAGACCTCAGGCGAGGCGGCCGAGGCGGTGGCGCAGCCAGCGGCACCAGCTGCGGCAGCGGGGGCCAAGACGGCAGGCGAGGCAGGAGGCCCCACGGCGCCTGCTGGCCCAGCGGCCGAGCCTGGCGGCCTCGTCGCTGATGGCGACAAGGATGTGGTGGCGGCGGCGCGCGCGCGGCTTGGCTGCTGCAGCCAAGGGCGCTGGCCGCGGTGCTGGCAGCAGCGGCGGGGCCGCCACTGCTCCACGGCCGACCCTTTGACGTCCCTGACGGGGTCGGTCCTCACCATCGGCATCTACACGGTCACGAAGATCTCGCCGTTCTCGGGCTTGTGGGCGATCCACCTCTTCGGAGGTGCCACGTCTGGGACGGCCACTACTACATGGGGCACTGCGACGACGCGCAGTGGTTTTCTTCCTCTTCACTTTCGGCTTCCACTCCCGCATGGGCGCCTGGTCCAGTCTATGACGACTGCTTCTACCTAGGCGGCGAGAGTGACGGCACCTCCTTCACCAACACTGGGGCCACCCATCTTGACGGTCCGACGTATGATGACATGCAGGCCGTGGCTGGCCCTGATTACTGCGTCTGGAAAGATATGGACCCTGCTAGGCAACGCGCACTTGTGCTCCAGCGTGAGCTCGAACGTGCCCTTCTCAGATTCACGGGGCACTGGCTGGAGGACCCGCGCGTCCTGGACGACGATATGGACGGGATGCACTGGAGGCGGCACTGCGTGCCCTACGTTGCCAACTACCTGTCGCACCCGTTTCTGAGGCCGCTGGTCATGGAGAAGGCCCAGCAGGATGGGCATGACAACCCTCACATTGCTGCAGTTGATATGGCTATCGACATCTGCAGGCGTGCATTCCGTGCTCGGCGGCGAGCGCGTTTCCACTGCCATGACTGGCTGCGGAGCCTCGAGGCCCTCGACCACGATGAGTACGACAACCAGCTTGCCCTCCACGCCGAGGCGATGATCAGGGAGCAGGAGTTCTTTGATACTCGAGTGGATCCTCGCCGCCCCGTCGGAGAGGAGGCCAGGTCTGCCTCCTCCTACACGGGCTGCTCTGACACGGTGACCGTCAGCGACTACGAGGACAGCGATCCTGACGACTCAGGTGGCACTACGACGGCGAGCTCCACGGGCAGCTGTCCTGCATCTCACACACGCTGCAGCGCCGCGGCTTTTCGGCGCGCGTACAGCCTTGGACGACGTCGTCGACGGGGCCTTCGAGCTGGAGCAGCCCGACCCCAAGCCGGGCACGTTTTACTGCAGATTGGGAATGGAGCTGACATCAGATGCAGGCTCCCAGCCATAGCGTGCTCCGACTGCTGCCCCCTTGGGCCTCTTGGGGATCGGAGTGATCACCCCCCCGTTTCTCCGAGAGCTGTCACGGCCGCCGAGCCATCAGCGTCGGTCCTGGAGGACCAGGTCGGCCGTAGGTCGGCTAGCGTGAAAGACGGAGGGGGGGCCCCTGATGGGGCCGCGTCGCCCAGGGTCTTGCAGAGACATCGTGGCAAGGCCTGCAAGATCATGACGGTCAATGTCACGGGCTGGGGCTCCCTCCTTACGCAACTGGAGGAGAAGCGCATCCCCGATGACGTGCAGGCTGTGCTCATCCAGGAGCACCACCTGGAGGAGACCAGGGTCGAGTCGGCGATGAAGGCCGCCAAGGCCCTTGGGTGGAAGGCTGACCTTTACCCTGCTCGGCGCACGGGCAACGGCGACGGCGCCACTGGCGGTATCGGCCTCCTGGTCAGGCCGCACGTCGCCTTCAGACGCCTGCAGTTCGACCATGACGGCATCCATGCGCCTGGTACGGCTCGTCAGGGTTTCTGGACCACCGACCTGGGGCCTAAGGAGGGGCTGGTGCTGGCGGGCCTCTACCTGCACACCAGCAAGGACCTGGAGGATGTGAACCTCGACCTCCTCTTCCAGATCGGCAGCGTATTGCACGCCGCAGGCAGGCCATACGTCCTGGGCGGCGACTGGCAGAACCTGCCCGAGTCCCTCAATTGCCTCCGTTGGCCCAAGGCAGTGAAGGGCGAGGTGGTCGCGCCCGACCAGGCCACGTGCTATACGGCCACGAGCGCCAGGGTCATTGACTACTTCCTCGTGCGGCACGACCTGCATGGGTGCCGTGCTCGCACCTTCGACGGCCTCTCGGTCACGCCGCACAAGGGCGTCATCCTCGAGCTGGACGTGTCGCAGATCCCGCTCATGGTGCGCAAGGCCCACATGGCCAAGGCCTTCCCTTCGAGCCAACTGGTGGGACCCCAGCTTCCAGGACCTGACTGGCAGGCGGCAAGCGAGGCGGCTGCTGCAGCCCATGACTGCGACAGCCTGGACGGGGCCTTCAGCGCGTGGTTGCGGCGCTACGAGGACGAGCTGCTCCAGCACTTCGGCTGCGAGCAGCCTGAGCGGTACCGTGGCAGGTCCGACGGCGTTCGTCTGGTGCACTCGACCCTGCAGATGCACTGCCGCAACCAAGCGAAAGGACGTGGAGCAGCTGACCCCAGCGAGGGCCACTGGCAATGGCTTGCCCAGAGGCTTCGTGAGTGGCGCTGGCGACGTGCCGCGGTGTGCCGCCACCCTAGCGCTGAAGGACAGCTACGCCTTCGTCGGCTGCAGCTGCGGCTTATGCGGTTTACCTTGCCGCAGCCCGCGCGCTGGCCCGACATGTGGGGGGCATGGCGGTCCCTCGTCCGACGACTTGATCAGTTGGGTGAGGACGACCTCGACCACCTGATGCACGACCTGGAGAAGTGCGCTGAGCGCGCTGCTGGCCAGGCCTCCTACCGCAGGTACAAGGCATGGGTGGACTGGTCCCATGATGCCACCGATGACGGCGGCATGCGGCGCGCCTTCAAGTGGATCAAGCAGGATGCCCCCTGGGCGTGCACCAATGC